AGAGAAATGAAATGTATGTCCTATAATATTAAATATTTGAAATATTTATATGTTTAAGAAATGTTAAATAATAAACATATCTAATTTATTGTTAAATACTAATCGATTAAGGAGTATTAAAAATAATTCATTTTAAATGAATTAAATAAATTAAATAAATTTATAGAAGTTGATTAAAAATATTTTAAAATTTAATACATTCAAGGTTTATATATAAATTTGTTAGAAATATGGAATATTTTAAAATTAATTATATTTAATTTAAAATATATTAAATATTTAAATAAGTAAATAGAAGAGGAGAGAGGAAATTCAAATAACAACTTCATACCACATCATAATTCACCAATTTTAATTTGAATTTTCTCTGTAAAATTGACTATATATAGAGTTGGAATGGAGTGTAGATTTTGAAGTCCTAAGCTTAATAACAATCTTAAACAACCAATAACATCTTAAATTTAAACCCTAACAACAATATTAGACAATCAATAACACCTTAAAAATCAATAACACGTAAAATTCAAATCCAAATAAAAAATCTAGTCCTAAGCGAGTAACACCTTGTTGGTAGAGTATGAGGTCATTCATTTTACTCTCTCATGAGTTTCTTTTTCTTGTCTCTTATTCTCCCTCTCTAGGTTGTCCCTCCCATTGTCTCTTTTAGCAGGAGGGCGCTCAGGGCCGTAGCCAGAGCTTGCTTGTCCTGGGCAGCTGCCCAGGGCAAGAAACTCCGTCTCTCCCACGACCTCTCCCTCCTCCCCTCACTTCCCCTCCTCTCCCGCCAGTTAACCTCCCTCTCCCACAGATCCAACATCATCTCCCTCCTCTTTCAGGATCTCCATCTCAATAATCCCCAGCCCAGCTCCCTCTCCTGCGCCTCCCTCCTCTCACTCACGACATACTCGTAGACCATCTTTATTTTTCGTCCCGGGTAAAAAATAATCATGGCTACGCCACTGAGGGCGGTGATATGTCGTACATTACCTAAGGTGATATTATCCAAGATATCCTGATGGGATGTAGATGTGCCTCCATCCTTGAAAGCATTCTTTGGCGATTTAGGCCGGCAAGAGATCGATCTTGTCGCAGGATTTGACTAGTGTAAGCGTTGACTCAGATTCGGGCGACGCGTCTTTGTGCCTAGAGACAATTGGATTCACGGGCTCTGTGCAATTGCTTTAATAGGTCAACGAGAAGAAACTATGGTTCAGCTGCGAAGAAGCCTTTCCTTCTTGTTAATTGAACGTAATTTTATTGACGAGCTTTCCGAAGAAAACCCATGCAGAAAAATACGACTCTCATCCATCCAATGCAAATGGACGCCGCCAACGATGGAAGCATTGGCCCAAGCCCGCTGAGTCGACGGGCCCACTTGTCCCGATTCCGAGAGGGGCCCAACTATTCACACTCCCAAACAGTAACTTTGGGGGTGTGTGAGGACTAAATTGTCCTTCTCCCAAACCAAACCAGACCAAGTCCAAAAGGGCATTTTCGGCAATCCAACTCCTAAAGTTACTGTTTGGGAGTGGATATAGCAAATATGTTCCGAGAGCTGCTCGCAGTTGCAGACCCGCAGGCTCCGAAAACCTTCGTTTTCCGCGCATATAAGTATAATTTAATAATTCCGTTCGCATTAAAGAAACGCGATGCAACCTTCGTCGTAAATTGCAGTACAAAGTCAAAACCCAGTACAGAAAAAGAAGAATACCGAAACGCGATGCAACCGAAAAAAATGAACTCCGAAGTCCAAATTAAAGAGAAAGCAGGCACTTTTTTGGCGGTTAAAGTAACGCTTTCCCCGCACGGTTTCACTCGCTCACCTCTCCCAAGCATCGAAATCAGGGGTTTCTTTCGATCATCGCTTCGATAACCCAAATGGAGGATGTTAAGCGCCGGCTAGATCTCGACGCCCCTCTCCTCTCCGTTCGCCGATTCGCATCCGAGCCCGAGCCCGAACCGAAACCGTCAGCAAAGGCGAGGGGGGACCCGAACCCGAGAAGATCAGCCCTCCCAGTTTTACAACCGGATCTCAAACCGGCCGATCCGAGACCCTGGCGCCGTCCCCTTCGTCTGGGAGCGGGCCCCTGGCCACCCCAAGGATCGCCCTCGCCCCGACTCCAAGCTCTCGCCGGAGAATGAAGAGGAGGGGGAGGATGAATTCTGTGATGCGCTCGAGACGCTGTCGAGGACCGAATCGTTCTTTATGAACTGCAGCGTGAGTGGGCTGAGCGAGGCGCCGGGGGAGATGGAAGCTTCTGGGAGCTTCTCGACGGACCCGGGGGTTAGGGATTTCATGATGGGCCGGTTCTTGCCGGCGG